ATGCGAAAGGGGTACAAGATATGATAACTACATCAAGGAATGAAAACAAGAAACAGTCAATAAGCCATTAACCAGTAAATGAATAAACTGCACGGCATCACCCTTCATGCTTTTACTCTCAACCTCACTATGAAACAGTAATAATGGCACGTCATCACCCTTCTTGCTTTTAATCTCAATTTCATCATTAATCAATAGATATAACACGACATCACCCTTCGCGCATTAACTCTCAAATACGGCACGACATCATCATTCGTGCATTAACTCTCAATTATGGCACTGCATCACCCTTCGTGCATTAACTCTCAAATATGACATGACATCACCCTTCATGCATTAACACTCTCCCTTACCATATGACAATCACTACAAAAAAAACAGCATTTAACGATGACCCAAATTCATCGCTAAATAGCTCTTTTCCATCGCTAAGCTGGGTTAGCGACGGATTAGCAATTGTTGCTGATTTGCTCGTTGCTAAGCTCTTTGTGACGGAAAAATGGAATCCGTCGCAATATTAGTGACGTTCTAGCGACGAACACTATCCATTGATACAATTTGCGATAGAATTTCCATCGCTATATTATAAAATTGTGTCGCTAAATTCACAATGCATTTCGTCGTTGGCATACTTTGTGACAGAAAGTCGGTCGCTAATCCGTCGCCAATATTTTGAGACTCATTTCTGCTTTTCATTTGGCGACCAAAATCGTCTGTTGCAATCTGTCGCAATGTTATTTTATATATTTATTTTTGTTACAAAAAATATCTGTCAAAATCTGTCGCAATATTTTTCCCTTTTAGATCCTTTTTATTGAATATTTTAAATTTTCTCTGCTCATGCACATTGTATGTAAATTATTAGATATCCTTAATAATAACTAAAATTCATACAAATTAACATACTTCAAGGTCCAAAATGTTATCAAAATGCATATAGCTAATACAATTAAGTTCGAATTATCTCTAACACCAATAATAAAGTTCAAACAAAAAGGTACGAATTATCCCTAACAACAACAATAAAGTTAAAAAAAAAAGATTCCAAACCAAAAAAGTGCGAATTATCCCTAACACCAACAATAAAGTTCAAAACAAAAAGCTTCCAAATACGAGGCTTAGGGGTTAAGGTCATCATCTGAAACCGATGGATGAACCCCATGAACAGTAGAAGTAGGAGGAGCTTGAACTGTTGGTACCACATCTGATGGGCGGTCAGTAGAAGTCAGTGAGGGTGACGAAATCATTTCACGCACCCGCTCAGTCAATACTGGAAGCATATGATCAGTTAACTATGTGCTCTGTTAGTGCAGGAATCAAACGCATCACTAACTCATCCAAGTTTGATGCTGATTGAGCACTCGAAGGTGATATTGACGATGAAGCATCTGACCCAGAAGAGCCACGAAGATTCGGTCCATAGTAGCATTTTGCTTGAGATCCAAGACCATATACTCTTCTCTTCCTCCCGCGGCTTCATAATACACTTTCCATTGATCAATATCAGATTGAGTTTGTTTTTGTTCCTATAATATTTCCTAATACCTTTCCTGTAAAAGAGGTGTAATAAGTAGTGAAATTAAAACAGTTAAGAATGTTGAGAATTTAATTAACCAATAGAGAGGATACTTTTCATACTCTTTTTACATTGTAGTAAATAAGATTATAAAATATTGGACTTACATGCACGATTCGAGCTTTCTCATCAAGAAAAGATTTTCCATCATGCCCATGTGTATTGTCATGGGCTGCTTTCCAGACATGCCTCATGACCCCTTGGCCGCGCCCCATGGCGGCCTAGCAAGCCTCACAATGCCTAGCGCCATGGTCGGCCCCGTGGTCTTGGCTGCGCCAAGTGACAAGCGCGCATGTGCCTCTGTCGCCCCACCGATGCCTCTCGCCAGCGCCCAAGGGCTGGCCAATGACAACAGCGCCGC